GCAGGGAGCCCGATGTGGGACTCGATCCCAGGACTCCAGGATCATGACCTGAGCCGAAGGCAGTCGCTTAACCAACTGAGCCACCCAGGCACCCGTGAGATCTTATTTTTTTTTTAAGAAAAAAAATATGTAGCCCCTAGATAATAGACATGATTAAAGATTCCCAAAATTTTAATAATTTCTCTTTTCCACTCAGTGTTATAAGCTTATATGTACTTCAGATCTTCTTTCACTGATCCCTAGTGAAGAAAACCTTTACTCTCTGCCCTGGACAGTGGGAATATATTGCATGTCAGAGATTAAAGTGTTCACTTTTATGCAGTAACATTCCCGTATTATGGAAATTTAGGAGACTATCATAAAAATCAAAGTTAAATACAGTGCACATTAAGTTTTGCTGCTTCAGATACCAGGTAGTTAATATCTTATTAAGTTGCTGGTAAACATGGTAGCCTAATGAGTATACGGATAACCCACAGTGACCAGAAGTGCCACTTGCCCTATAATGCCCTTAATTTTAGTAAAGACTAGTCACAGCAGTGAGAAATCTGAAGAAAAAGCCCTTGGTCAAACTAGATTTTAATAGATTGTCATCTTTTCTCCTTTGAGTTAGTATGTGCAAAAGAATTTTTTAATACAGAACAATCAAAAGAAGCTATCCTACCTACTGTTGATATCATGCTTTGTCTTTGTCAAAGAACATCTCTATTAAGTAAACTTAAGACACAAAAATAATTTATAATCCTTTTTAAAGCAGATGCACTTAAGGATAAAGCATGTTACTGAAAATGTACTGGAGAAAAAAGTTTGAAAATTTGGATTTGGTTGGAGACTTGTCATTTTCTATCTCATAGAGCCAAACCTACTGAGTGGCACTGCCCATAGTGTGAACAGAAGAGGCGTAAAAAGACGAGACCTAGACATCGAAGAGCTCAGAGAGATCCTTTCTTCTCTCCTACCTTTTGTGCGAATTGAACACATCTTACCTATAAACAGTGAAGTCCTAAGTGATGCGGTGAGTTCCTTTCTTCATTTATCTCTTTCATGAAAAAATGCACCAAAATGTACAGGTTTATCTTTTTTTTTTTTTAATCATTGTACTTAATTTCTACTAATAGAGTATGGTGAAACTGTAAAGTCCTTGAGGACAGAGACAGACGTATGTTTTGTACTGTATTGTGTCCCCCGTGTTGGCCACTGACACAAACGTTTGGTGAATGAGAGTTGAGTGGGTATAGCAGTCTTAACTTTTACAAGAAGATAGTCTAGGGGGAGTTACTTTAGCCAATTATCAGTGTAGATCAAGTAGATCTTACTCACAAAGGAAAGGGTAGAGATTACTTCTGGAGACTTTTACACAACAATAAATCAGGGAGAAGAGAAGGAGATTGGTTCAATGTGAAAAGGATGGCTGAATCTTATGATCGTATTTCAATTAAAAAGTAATGGAGCTGATCATATTACTTACATAGTTTTTTTAAAGTGAAATTTTTAAACTAATAGAATTGCTTGAATTAATGGATATGAAAAATATTATAAATATTACTTCTTCACATGTTGGTTTATAACTTTAATGCAATGCTTACAGACATCATGATAGTGTTTTCAACTGCTCAGGAACATAACGTCATCTGGAAAAAGCTGATAAGAATTTTGTTTCTTGCATACAAGTGTTTTATTTATTTATTTTCTTTTGAAGTTTTTGTTGAAATTCTAGTTAGTTAACATACCGTGTAATATTCATTTCAGGTGAGGAATTTCATGATTCATCACTTACATACAATACCCAGTGGTCATCACAACAAGTACATTTCTTAATCCCCATCACCTCTTTCACCCACCCCCCTCCCACCTCCCTTCTGGTAACATCAGTTTGTCCTCTGTAGTTAAGATTCTGTTTCTTGGTTTTCCTCCCTCCCCCCTGCCAATGTTCATTTGTTTGTTTGATAAGAATTTTTTTTAAGTTCTCTAAAGAGCACATAATGAAGGAGGCACATAATAACTCTTCCGGAATTTAAAATATATTTTAAAACTCTAGGGATGCCTGTCTGGCTCAGTTGGTAAAGCATGCAGCTCTTGATCTCAGGGTCGTGAGTTCAAGCCCCATGTTGGGCCTAGAGCTTACTTTAAAAAACAAAAACAGAAACAAAAAAAACCTCTAACTTGTGATGCCAGCAAAACAGAAAGGACAAAATAGCCCAGAAAAAGATCCTCATTAATATGTAACAATTAAACATACAGTAATCCATCAGATATCAGTGAATCATTGTGGTGCTAGACTAGCTGGTGAGCTGGGGGAGTTTGTTTAAAGTTAAACCTTCATTACACTTGCACACAAAATTAATCCCTGTTAGATTGCAGAATTAAATATTAAATTGAAACATGGAAAAAGTAGAAGAAAATAATTAAATATTTATGATATTTCTGATTAGAAAAGAATGTTCAGTCTCACTAGTAATCACACACACCAAAGAAGGCAAAATAAAGCCATAAGTTACTATTTTTTTCACCTATTAAGTCAGTATTTTTTGAAATAATATTACCATCCCATAGGGGAAGTCCAACTGATACATTAGTAGCATTGTCCTTAAATATTTGGAAACTGCTCAAATGTCCAATAACAGAAAAAATAAAAGTAAACTATAGGACGACTACTCAACAGAATATTTTGCTGCCTTGAACAATGGTTATAGAGACTAATGTAGCAACATGAAAAATGCTAATGATGGAATAGAATTTCAGAAAGGATACAAAATAATGTATTTTTATGTATTCTAGAATTCAGTTATGTAAAGATCCATTTGAAAAAGACTGGCAGGAAACATATAAGTATTATTACAGTTGGAGTAGATTTAGGAGTTTTTTTCTGTTTTCTAAATACTATCTAATGCTGTATAATGCTGTATTTTATTAGTTAAAAACAATTTTAACTGGGCTCCTCGGTGGCTCAGTGGGTTAAGCATCTGCCTTCAGCTCAGATCCCAGGGTCCTGGGATCGAATTCTACATTGGGCTCCCTGCTCAGCTGGAAGTCTGCTTCTCCCTCTACCCCTCCCCCCTGCTCATAATCTCTCTCTCTCTCTCTCTCTCTCTCACTCACTCTCTCAAATAAATAAAATCTTAAAAACAGTTTTAACTAATGCAGCAATTAGACACTTATTGTATTTATATTTGACACAAAACAATGTGTGGTTCTGGTTTTGTTTGTTTTTTTTACAATATTTGGTTTTGTTTAAAACCTGGGGGACACCTGGGTGGCTCAGTCAGTTAAGCATCTGCCTTCGGCTCAGATCATGATCCCGGGGTCCTGGGATTGAGCCCCGTGTCGGGCTCCCTGCTCAATGGGGAGTCTGCTCCTTTTGCCCCTACCCTTCCCCCCCACTCGTGCTCTCTCTCGCTATCGATCTCTCTCAAATAAATAAATAAAATCTTCTAAAAAGAAAACCTGGGACACAGGGGCTTCTAGGAGGCTCAGTCCATTAAGCGTCTGCCTTCGGCTCAGGTCATGATCCCAGGGTCCTGGGATGGAGCCCCGCTTCAGGCTCCCTGCTCAACGGGGAGTCTCTTCTCCCTCTCCCTCTGCCTCCCCACACTTGTGCACACGCTCACGAGATCTCTCCCTCTCTAATAAATAAAATCTTTACAAAAAAAAACCTGGGACACAAACCAAATTGAGCCCTGATTTTGGTTTAGAAAGATAATTTAGAACTTTGGTTTAGTAGACTTAGAAAATACGTATCTCTCTTCTTAATTCTGTGCTTTGCCCAGAAGTCCCCAGTGAAAGTTTGCTAATAATAGCTGTTAAGCATAAAACACTCTTAGTGTATGCTAAACACTGTGCTGAGTGCATTACCTGCATTACCATCATTAATCCTCACAGCCACCTTAATGAGCTATAGGTACTTGATTTATTTTCTCCTAGCATAGACGAGGAAACAACAAGGCCACCACATTTAGTTAGTCATGCGGAGTCCCGTCTCCAGGGCCATCTGGGAACCCTTAAAGTGAGGTCCAGATGAAAGGACCTGTCCATGCTCACATGGCTATTAAATGGGGACTTAGGGATCTGTATCCAATCTGCCTCCCCTAGAGCTCCTGTCCCTAACTCAGGCAGGCAGACTGCGTGCATCCTTGTACTCTAGATATAGGCCCAAGATGTTCTTGCTTTGTCTTGAGGTGGATGGGGTGGGGATGGAATCTGTTTCTAAATGAGTAAGGAAAAAAATAGAAATTGGTTTTTATTAAAAGTTCTGAAAGCTAATCCAACTCATTGTATTTTTAATTACTGTAGCTCTTGTTTTAAAAGCATCATTCCGGGTGCCTGGGTGGCTCAGTTGGTTGAGCAGCTGCTTTCCGCTCAGGTCATGATCCTGGAGTCCTAGGATCAAGTCCTACATCGGGCTCCCAGCTCAGCGGGGAGCCTCCTCCTCTCTCTGACCCTCTCCCCTCTCATGCTGTTACACTCTCTCTCTCTCTCTCTCAAATAAATAAATAAATAAAATTTTTAAAAAAATAAATAAAAGCGTCATTCCGGGGGCGCTTGGGTGGCTCAGTCGTTAAGCGTCTGCCTTCGGCTCCGGTCATGATCCCAGGGTCCTGGGATCAAGCCCCGTGTCAGGCTCCCTGCTTGGCGGGAAGCCTGCTGCTCCCTCTCCCACTCCCCCTGCTTGTGTCCCCTCTCTTGCTGTGTGTCTCTCTGTCAAATAAATAAAAACTTTAAAAAATAAAAAATAAAAGTATCATTCCTCTGTATAGAGAAAAGTGGTACATTATAGTACCTTTTTATTGCTGAATCCTTTAAATATTCTTAAACATTTGGAGTATTTTGAAATTTCACATATATTCCTAAATTTTCATGATTTATAGGTGTATTTTTTAAGCTTAGTAGTATTCTAGGTCTACACAAATCTCTAGTTCATCTAAAAATAATTTTTTTTCAAGATGAAAAGAGGCTTGATTAGTACTCCTCCATCAGATATGCTTCCTACAACAGAAGGTGGAAAATCAAATGCCTGGTTACGGCAAAAAAATGCTGGAATATATGTTCGTCCTCGACTGTTCTCTCCCTATGTGGAGGAAGCGAAGGTAATGAAAATCATTTTAAGATATTAGAGTACATTTTATGAACTAGCACAAAGATACTCATTGTGGTGTTGTAATAAACATTTAGAAATCGCCTAAATATCCAGTAATAAGGAAAGTGAAAGTAAACTCTACTTCAACTACTCACGGGAATAGTTTTCTGAAATGTTTAATTATCAAGCGTATTTTTATAACTTAGGTCATGTTGAATTGCATTTTACATTTTTCTCATCTTAGTTGTGTTGCAAATTGTTAATTTGGAAAAAAATAAATTTTACTGAGAAATGATAGTATTTTGTGATCTTCAAGATGGGAAAAATGTTCTGAAAGAAAATTGCACACATTTTGTCTTTCTTAAACTAAAGAAATGACATGGTTTCTTATAATGTGTTTCTGTAAAGGCTGACTTTTGGAAATTATGTTTAGTTTTAGAGTAAGTGCACAAAACTAAGATAAAATTTCAGGCTTATTAAGTAAATTGTGTATCATAATATGAAGAACGCCAAGAAAATATGGTAATGTAAAAATGGAATACTGTGATGTTTATTAGCTGTATTTGGCCATTAGAACTTTGGGATGGCCTTTTGAGGAGCTGACACTCTTTGAAAGTCAGAAATCACCATTAAGCTTTTTGAAACAAATTAACAGGCAAAACATCATGTTTCGGTATAGAATTAAGTTACCTTAATTTTTTTCTCATTTTGATTGTCAGAGCTCCTAGCTTAAGATATGCGAAAGGATTTGTGAGAAGTTAATTTTATTGAGTAGGTCAGTAATCTACCTCTTATTGAGTGGTTGGCACTTTAAATAATCTAAAATAGGAAAAAAGTAAAATGGTTGGGTCTGGTTTTTCGGAAATAAGTTCAGTGCTTAACAGCACACAAGTAGCAGAGGCCTTTACCAAAGATTGTGTCTGGTGACAAAAGGTCTGTAATAAATGATCCTGCATTCTGCTCTGTCTCAGAATGGGGCAGTGGGGAGCTAATCAGATAGTCCTCCTGGAACTTCCCTGTTCCCTGATGGCTGAACCCACACGTAAATAGATAATTGCCCCCAGGAAATGTGGAAGGGTTTATACATCATTTTGGCCACTCTGTAGTTTGTTGAGATTCATCTGAAACTAAATTAGCAATTGCATTTATATATAGATTTGTTGAATTTAAAATCAGTCTTCAGTATTTTGTATTTTGAGCATTTGTTGTTGGATCTGATATTTAGCTCATGTATAGATTGTTTTTATAGTAACTTTAGGTATAATTTCCTTCTGACTAATTTTATACCTTCAAATCTCGAATACTTCAGTTAAAAGCAAACAATCAGAAGATAATTATTTCTTTTCAAAGATGATACAGAAAGATTCTTAGGGGTTCTTTCTCCTTTCACTATTAACTTTAAGCTTCATGCACTGAAAACAATAAATTAATTCCTTTTTTATATGATGAAGGCTACAATCTTTCTCCAAACGTGATTTACAGAGATGAGTTGACAGATTCTCTTAATACTGAATCATTATTTCAGTCAGTGCTGGATGAGATGATGGTGGAGCAAACAGATCTTGTGCGTTTGCGAATGGTTAGAATGTCCAACGTGCCAGACACACTTTACATGGTCAACACCGCCGTGCCACAGTGCTGTCACATGATGAGCCACCAGCAGATCAGCAGTCACCAGTCAAGCCCTCCTTCAGTCGTAGCCAATGAAATTCCAGGTGAGATGGTAGCCTTCTGTGGGGCATTTATATTAAAATGAATAATCTGATCATTTTTGTAGCCTTTTTATATGTGCTAATTCTCTCCACTTTCCAGTACCCATTGTGCATTGTTCTCGTTAAAGAATTAGTACTTAATAAGCTAGGTTTTTTTGTTTCATATTTTATTTTCCAGTGTGTACAGGTTTTCCAGTTAGCCCCGGGTTTCTCAGCCTTGGTGGTCTTGACACAATTCCTTGTTGAAGGGGCTGTCCTGTGCACCGAAGGGTGTACAACAGCATCCTGGGCCTATACCCACTAGATGCCAATAGCATGTGCACACACGCATGCGCACCGCACACACGCACTCCTTTGTGACAACCTTTTGGAAACATTTTTATGTTTCTAGACATTGCTAAATGTGCTCTGTGGGGCAAAATCGCTTCCTGTTGAGAACCACTAGTTCAAAGGAATTCAGATTTTTCATCACCATAAGCGTGCTCACATAAGACTCTGAGGAGAGGGCGCCTGGATGGCTCAGTTGGTTAAGCGACTGCCTTCGGCTCAGGTCATGATCCTGGAGTCCCGGGATCGAGTCCCACATCGGGCTTCCTGCTCAGCAGGGAGTCTGCTTCTCCCTCTGACCCTCTTCCCTCTCGTGCTTTCTATCTCTCATTCTCTCTCTCTCTCAAATAAATAAATAAAATCTTTAAAAAAAAAAAAAAAGACTCTGAGGAGAGTTATAAACTTACATCTTCGAGTCTAGACATGTGCTCCCAAATGTGATCACTGTTGGTTTCCTAGAGATCCATCCAGCTTCCCAGGATCTGCTCTGTGAATTCTATTGTAGCGCAGGCTTCTGTCATGACTTTGAGGAAATTTTTTCCTTGACCTTAGAGATATAACTGTTACGTCCAAAAATTTCTGAGCATCAGTTAATGTTGATTTTAACCAAAGGACTCTAGTGTCAGTTTTTGAGGTAAGATCCACAGTGATCTGGGGGTCAGAAATTTTATAGAAATTTACCAATTACCACCACAAGATTCAAAAACATCAGCAGACTGTAGCATTATTAGAAATGGCACCATTCAGGGCGCCTGGGTGGCTCAGTCGTTAAGCGTCTGCCTTCAGCTCAGGTCATGATCCCAGGGTCCTGGGATTGAGTCCCACATCGGGCTCCCTGCTCGGCAGGAAGTCTGCTTCTCCCTCTCCCACTGCCCCTGCTCGTGTTCCCTCTCTCGCTGTGTCTCTCTGTCAAATAAATAAAATCTTTAAAAAAAAAAAAAAAAGAAATGGCACCATTCAAAAAAAAAAAAGAAATGGCACCATTTGCTTTCTGCTTATTAATGTCTGTTTCAATTAAGGACAAATAAAAGAATAAAGGAACTATTAATTGAACACATACATTTTATTCTGGGACTAATGTCTGATCATTGTTGGCCTTATCAGATTTAGCCACTATGGACAAAATATTGACAATCATTTATTTAAAAAGTATACAACAGTAGGAAAAGAAATACTCCTATAGCTGATTTGTGCAGATATTGAAGCTATGGTCATTAGCCTGGTTTTATCAGCTTGAGTTAATACAATTGAATAGCAGCAAAATTTAATCTTAGAACTGAACCTAAAAAGCCCAGAGATGTTCACAATTAAGTACGCTCAGAAAAATAAGACTTGTCTTTGTTTTCTTATTTAACAAGACCTGGTCCTATTTTGGCGTTATCTGATTCTTCCCTCTTCCTTGCTCACCTCACCCTAAGGGAGGCCCTATAGCTTTATTGGAGAAGATGCCAGTAAGGCTCATATCCTGGCTCTGCCACTTTATTTGTGTGACTTTTTTTTTTTTTAAGCTATTATTTATTTATTTATTTATTTGACAGAGAGCACAGGTACGCAGAGGGGCAGGCAGAGGGAAAGGGAGAAGCAGGCTTTCCACTGAGCATGGAGCCCGATGTGGGGCTCGATCCCAGGATCCTGGGATCATGACCTGAGCCGAAGGCAGTCGCTTAAGCAACTGAGCCACCCAGGCACCCTATTTGTGTGATTTTTGACAAGATAACTTACTTCCCTGAGCATTAATTTCCTTGTCTGTGAAATGGTTATAATATCTCCTTTCTAGGGTTGTTACAAAGATTTCAGGAAGTACCATGAGTAAGATGCTTAGAAGTTTGCCTGGCACAAAGTAAACACTCAGTAAATGATAGCTCCCCTTTCCCCAGAAATAATAGGCATGGCCAGTCTAGTCAGTTTGTCTCTTAGATATTTATAGACGGTGTCCCCAATTCCCCAGCCCCCTGCAACAGCCTTAGTCCGGGTTCTGAACTGGTGTTCCTGCCTCTAACCTAACTCCCATTCTGGCCTTTATACCGGGGCTTAGCAGACATTTTCCAGGAGGGCCATTTGGGAGATATTTTAGGCTTTGTTGGCTCTGCAGTGCCCATCGCAGCTACTTAACTCTGCCATCAGAAGCACCAGAGACACTACCTAAACAAGTGGGTGTAGCTGTGTGTCAGTAAAACTTTATTTACAAACCCGGTGGCAGGCTTGATTCAGCCAACCCCTGCTTACCCTGCTCTCAGAGTGCAATTACTGCCTCACCGCCCTCCTCTGGTCCTGTCATTCCCCTGTACAAGCGACTCCCTGTAGTTCTTAGCGTGACCCGCAGGGTCATTCATGATCTGCTCCTACCCATCTTTCTCGACTTCTCTCTTCCTATTCTCCCTGCTTGTACCTCTGAACCCTAAGCTACTAGTAGTGTCCGCTGCTCGTGCCGTGCTGTCACCTGCCCGTTTGACACGGGCCTGGTCCTTCTGCTCGAGACACGTGCCTTCCCTCTACTTTCTTTACCTGCCTCGTTTTCTCTCCTTTTTCCAGACTCAGATTCCCCTTTTCCAGGCAGCATATAAATTACTGTGTTTCCAGGAAATTAAAATGCTATCAACAAATGTATAAGAAGATTCTAATGCAGAACACATGCTTTCTTTCTTGTGCTCAGTGGGTGGGTGGTCTTGCATGCAGCTCAGATATTTGGCGAACCAGCCCTTTCTTTTTTCAGTTCCTCGTCTCCTCATTATGAAAGACATGGTCAGACGTCTGCAGGAACTACGGCACACTGAGCAGGTGCAGAGAGCCTACGCACTCAACTGTGGGGAAGGCGCCACGGTCAGCTACGAAATTCAAATTCGAGTTTTAAGAGAGTTTGGTCTCGCGGACGCTGCTGCAGAGCTCTTGCAGGTGGGGATGGCATTCGACTAGGTGCAATAGGGAGACTTGATCATTGTGCAGAAGTTATTTCAGACCTCTCAAGGAGCCCTCACGGCATGCGTCTGTTTCTTAGTGCATTACCTTTCGCTGCCTCGAGGGACTGTGATAGCCTGGAAGTCCTGTCCTGTCCAAGGCACCCATCCCCCCGCCCCGCCCCCTGTAGAGGCCGTGTGTAGGGTGGATGGAGCGCACGGGCTCTGGAGGGAGAGCTGAATTTATATCTTGGCTCTGCTTCTTTTCAATTAGTTAATTTGGGCCAACCACATAACCACTCCGAGTGTCAGTTTCCTTACCAGTAGAGTGGATGTTGTGACGATAAGAGGTGCTGTATGTAAGCAGCTGTGTCTCTTGTGCTTAATAGGCCTGCTAAAAGTTCATGGTGTGCATCTGCATCGAATGTGAAAGAGGAAGTAGAAAACTCTGATCCTCTACTGCTCTTTGTCCCTCTTTGGGTCTCTAGATTTCAGGTTGTGGCCTACTACCAGACTTAACAGATCTGCCAGATGCCCCTTTTCTTGATTCTCCCCTCCTCCAGATAATAAGAAATTTTTTGCATGAAGTTACAAATCCTTGAGAATCAAGGAATGAGTGCTTTTTTGTTTTGTTTTGTTTTTTTCTTTAATGAGCAGGGAAAAAAACTCATTTCTTACCAAGTATCAGAGCAGTAGCATCGGTTTTGCGATGAAGGAAGAACGTGTAAAGTGGTCTGTTCACAGCCGTGAAATCAGAGCCTTAAATAAAATTTAATTTTGTCTGGTCAAGTGATTGAATTTTTTTTTGCCCCTGACTCCAGACTTGTTTAGCCTGAGTCTTCAAAGGGGAATGTGGTTGTGGTGTTTGCAGGGCAGCAAGCTGTTCGTGATTTTCATTTTTTGCCGTGGTTTCCATCCCTGAAGTAGAGTCTTGTTATCTGTTCATTTCTTTTCCTTTTGCCATTCTAAATTGTATCTCAATTTGATATCTTAAGATGTATAAAAGTTTTATAAATTAAATATTCTTATATAATGTTTATCAAAATACTAATCAAACTGAGTCATACATAACAGGTAAAGGTTAGCATTTTATAGTTCTTATTTCAGACAGAGTGTAGATGTTCTGTCAGAAAATTCTGGGAGGATCCTCCCTTGTATGCCTTTTCTTCCTTTGGTACTTAATTTTATTTTCTCAGCAAAGACACGTCTGAATTAGGTTTTATTTCCTCCTTTTGCATTATCGCATAATCTTGCAAGAGATAACTGATCTGATTGCTGGAATGTTTAGTTAAGCAGCTCTCCTTGATAGCCGTATCTTAGGCTGCAGAACCTCCACTGTATCCTTTTGTGCTGTTATTAAGGTAATTTTTTCTTGGGCTTCTGGCCTAGAGGAATATGTCGTGCCCTTTACTCTTGCTGAATGTGGTTTTCTTAGGATCTCACCTAATGTTGTCAACCTGTAAATTTCTATCTAGGAAATTTGCTAATAAATGTCCTTTTTGTTTGTTTGTTTGTTTTAAATCTTTCTTAGAATCCTCACAAGTTCTTTCCGGATGAACGTTTTGGGGATGAAAGTCCACTCTTGACACTGAGACAGTCTGGGAGATGTCGTGTTAACAGTACCCCCACTGCAGAAACCATGTTTACAGATCTGGACTCTTTTGTGGCCTTCCATCCACCCTTGCCCCCTCCACCACCTCCGTACCACCCCCCAGCTACCCCAATCCATAACCAACTCAAAGCAGGCTGGAAACAAAGACCTCCCAGCCAGCACCCTTCACGTTCGTTCTCCTATCCCTGTAATCATTCGCTGTTTCACTCCAGAACGGCCCCTAAAGCCGGCCCCCCTCCAGTCTACTTGCCAGGTGTGAGAGCCGCAGCACCTGATTGCACCAACACCACAGGACCGGGGAGACAGACTGTGGCCACCGCCGCCGCCGCCGCCCCCGCTTCGGCAGCAATAGCATGTGAGAAACCAGTGGTAAGTTAGCACTTCACTGATTTACCTAAAATAAAATGTTCCTGGAATATTAGAAGCAATTTCCCTGACCCCAGGAGCCCTACTGGGACTCAGCAGTGCCCAGGGGTGTTACCGACAAGCTGAAGGCTTAGACTGCAGGGCTGTGGAAAAGAGAGAGAAGGATAATGGAGCAGAGTGGGAGCGTGGGGGAGAGACGGTGTGTGCGTCGGGGCTGGTTGGTACCTGCCTTGTCTTCGTGTTCATTGCAGGTACTCGGAGGGGGTCATGTTACTGGGCGGTGCCAGTGGATGTTACCAGTTTAGTGATGCTCCATTCAAGCACATGTCTAGAAGCTGCCCTCATTTCTATAGAATCTACTCTTCTGCCGAATGCTTTGATGGGCCAGGAAGGGGAAGTTATTTATAGCTGTGTATACTGTCAGGAGCCATGTGGTGAAAGACTGCCCGCTCAGAAAATGGACAGATGATCAGTCCTTCGGCCTGGCCGCCTGTTCCGTCGGAGCGCACATTTGCCTGGGGATCACAGTAGCTAGCGTCAGGAGCTAGTAAACGAAGCAATAATTCCTGGTCGATTTTGCATTGTATTAGAGGTTGAATTTCTGTTTAGATAATACCTTTGGGGAAAAAAAAAACAGTAGTGATTTTTGAACCTTCCTGCTCAGTCACACATTGTCAGTGGTTTTCAATAGAAAAACAAAAAATACATATATTAGTTCAGGGAATCTTTATTAAAATGTGATTTTCTGGACACTGGACCTAGTGTACACCTTGGGTCAAATTATGATCCTTCCTTACCTTATACGCTTCTACCTACTCTCCCTGCTGTCCCCCCAAGCCCCTAAAAAAGAAGAAACAATAGGGATTGATAGTGTTTGATAGGCCAAATTTCCATCCTATTGGCCTTGCCCTCAGTTCCACAATTTCAAAAGTTCTACTACTTTTTATTTGAAATAAAATTCCCTTTAAAGGTAATTTATTTGTATGTTCATTGCAGTCTTTTTTTTTTTTTAAAGATTTTATTTTTAATCTCTACATCCACCGTGGGGCTTCACCCCACAACCCCGAGATCAAGTCACACATTCCACCGATTAAGCCAACCAGGTGCCCCACTGTAGTCTTGATTATAATAAAGAGAAATTGGAAACAACCTTAATGTCAGCAGTGGGACAATGGCTAAATAAGCCATGATTCATCAATACCATGCAATATTATGCTGTAATTAAATAGTAACCTCCAAATTTAGTGACAGACTTATATATGTACTACATTTTGTGAAAATTAATATATGAGCAGAGGGGGAAAAAAAAAAAGAAAAATACCTCAAAATGTTAACAGTGGTTATCCCAGTAGGGAAGATTAGTGGGGTTTTTTTGTTTTGTTTTTGTGGCCTTTATGATTTTCTGTATTGTAATTTTTTTTTTTTTTTTAGATTTTTAAAACCTATTTATTTTAGAGAGCATGCGAGCAAGCACGGGGGCGGGAGGGGAAGAGGCAGAGGGAGAGAGACAAGCAGGCTCCACGCTGAGCCCAGCATGGGGCTCGATCCCACGACCCTGAGATCACGACCTGAGCCAAAATCAAAAGTCAGACACTTAACTGACTGAGACACCCAGACACCCTTATAGTGTTATCATTCTTAAAAATAAGCATGTATCACTTTTATAATGACGAAGCAAAACCAATGAACATCATTGGTACAAAGAGGGAGCCGTGGGCCTTTTTCTTTTAACCCTCCCTTCTCCTCTCTCTGTTGGCAGTGTACACAGCCTGTGCTAAATGATCTAATGCCAGACATCGCCATGGGCGTGGCCACACTGTCACTCAAGGACAGGAGGCTCCCAGAACTGGCTGTAGACACAGAGCTAAGCCAGTCCATTTCTGAAGTGGGACCAGGGCCTCCCCAGCATCTGTCATGTATTCCACAGAGGCATACGCACACGTCTCGAAAGAAACACACACTAGAGCAAAAAGCAGATGCTCGAGAAAATCAGCAGGAATATCCGGATTTCTATGACTTTTCAAATGCTGCTTGCAGACCTTCTACGCCTGCTCCCGGCCGACGCACCCCTTCCCCTTCACAAGGTGGATATTTTGGTCCTGATTTATATAGCCACAATAAAGCATCACCAAGTGGCTTAAAGTCAGCCTACCTACCTAGCCAGACCTCTCCGAAAAAGCAGGAAGAAGCTAGGAGAGAATATCCACTTTCCCCTGACGGGCATCTTCACAGACAAAAGAATGAGCCAATCCACCTTGATGTTGTTGAGCAGCCACCCCAGCGGTCGGACTTTCCTTTGGCAGCCCCAGAAAACGTTGGCAGTGGTCCAGCCCACGTCAGGGGACGAACAGCAGTAGAAACTGACTTGACTTTTGGGCTGACTCCCAACAGACCCCCACATCCTGCGTGCAGCTCTGAAGTTCCGGAAGAGCGATCCAGTAGGAGACTGGTGGACAGCGAGTCCCTGGGCCACGGAGCTCAGCGAAATACCGATTTAGAAAGGGAAGATTCAATAAGCAGGGGAAGGAGGTCACCGAGCAAGCCAGACTTCCTCTACAAAAAGTCTGCCCTCTGAGAGCAACCTCCAAGTCGTTTGTGCCTGAGATGTGAAACATCCCATTTTTTGATGTAACCCGACAACTTAGAGACCAGTTTATCGATGCCAGCTAACTCAGTTTCACGTTATTTTAGTCTAGTTTTTGTATATACATGTTTATGAGACGTGGCATGCTACGAGGGTTCTTTTGAATGCTGCATCTGTCTGTTTTGTGTTTGAACAGTTGTGTGGGGAAGCATTTTTAAGAGCAAGCAAGCTGGCACTTTTTTTTTCCTCTTTACAAATGATGGAATTTTTTTGCACTTGTACATTTATTTTATCTGTATTGATTTTATATCAGTATGTCAAACTTAATTGCCACATTTAAAGGAACCGTATTTTCATACTTTTTTGCATTTTACCTTTCATCTACCAGTTTCCACGTGCATTGGACTGCACACTAAGATGTATTTTCTTATGAAATAGTTCTGTGCTTATTTTTTAATTATAGAAATTCCAAAGAACAGCACATCAAAATGCTCCTCTCTCTTCGGTAATTGTTTTAGTTCAGAAATCTTCCTGCTCAATCTCCATAAGTCTAAAATCATTCTTCCTTAACAAGTCTTGGGAGCTAGTCTTCATTCCTCCAGCGGGAGTCCAGTCAGGATCCTGACGTTTTCTGGTTCGGTAAAGAACCGAAAGGAGCAAAGCCTTTTGTGCCCAGGCTGAAGCTGTAGCTTTGTTCACCGTGTGGGCGCCGTCAGAATCCCCACTGATGGTGGTAGTGCGCATTAGCATAGCGCTAGCTGAGGTTGTCAAGACATTGGATTTCTTGGAAGCCTAAGGCAGCGGAAATAGCAAAGTAACTTAAGGGTTGCCCGACGGGATTTCTGGTTCTGAGCGCCGACTCTCCAGCTGAAACGGGAAATGACTGCTGGCTGCCTTCAGTTTTCTTGCTCTCTGTGGGAAAAAAAAACAAAAGGGCTTCAGTCTTACGGATGTCATTTGGTGTTTGTAAGCCTATGTTTTCTTTTAAATGTTTTTCGAAGTTTGTCTGAATTTTGGTGTCCTAAAAAAGTTGTTGAAGGATGCATAATGCTTTGTCACCAAAAAAGAAAAAGAAACCTTTTTTTTTTTTTCCCAGTGAAACACTACATGTCCTACTTGAACTCCACTGGGGACGCTGGTTTGGGATTTTACTGAACCACTGAGCACATGGGATCTTTTAAGATCCTCTCCCTTGGAAGGGCAATGTGTGAGCTAAGGACTGTTTTTTTTCTTACTCTCCAATGTAAATATATTAGTATTTGAGTTTTTAAATCACTGCAACATTATTTGAGCATTCACTTTGTATTTTTACGAACACATACACACACAGCCGTAGCACTTAGAAAAAAGGGACTTGCCGAACATTCCCTCATGGGAAGGATGTCTGGGAGCCTCTTTTCTACGTATGTATATATAAATAAAACTATGAATCACTCACACTCACTCTAAAACTATGCAGGGCTAGGGAGCCTTTACAAGCTACCATATAAATGAATTACATGCACTTTTAAGTAAATAGGTTTCTATTGGGCGTCAACAACTCTGATTTCTCCCGAAGCTGTAGTTTCTCTTGACAGTCTTTCCTACTTTACCCTGTGGATATACACTCAGGAATAATCTGACATTTTCAAAAATCCTAACAGTAGGTAGTCTCAAAGACGGGGAAGGTGTCAGTCTGTCTGTGTACACCGGCACATCGCTGCCCCGCCTTCTGCCTGCTCGTTAGCTGCTCCTCGCGTGGTCGTCGGGGCTGGTGGCAGTGCGCGCTCAGCTCTGCGCCTCCCACAGCGAACATTCGTCCCCTGGGAGGTTGACTAGCATCGCCTTTGAGGCTCCTTTTTTTAAAGGTAGAAAAACATAGGACTCTGTGCTCATTTTTAGGAGGTTTGACTCTATAATAGATGATGGTGTCTTTTGAAGCCTATTTCAGTCTCTCTCTTCAGAAACAAAAATTGTTAATTCCATCATATTCCTTAATGTGTATTTATATACATGTATTGACATGAATTATTTTGATATAGTTTTAAATTTCTATTCTGAATTCAGACTGTACTGTGCTGGTACTGCAAATAAGAGTGAGTAGAGCTAATTTGGGTGGGGAAAAGCTTTCTCATCTCTGACCTGTATTTTTTAAAATGTTAGACAAGAGCTGTTTGATGTCACACATTCATTTTCCTGAAAACTTATTAAATATTCTTTCATATCCCCCAAACATAAAAAGAAGTGGCCACTGTTCCTACTTTATGAAGTTTGCTTTTAATAATTTAGTAGCTGATCTGACTAAACTGTGTACAGAGAGGAACTCGCTTTAATCAGTGGGACTGTGGACCTGTGGGACTTGCAGAAGGTAAGCGGGTGCAGCATGCGTACGCTCGGGCAGGCGTCCGTGGACTTCTGACGTACCTTGTGAAGGACGGTGGCTGAGGTAGGTTGGTCGGCTCTTGAACCCACCTCTCCGGCCTTCTGCAGCGCTTACTTGGCATTAAAATTGGCATTAAAATTCTGTTAATGCTGTACTAAAATAAATGCGAAGTCTGAGTTAAGATTGCTCTTAGGAGAAAAAAAGTATGTATAATATAAAATTTAGGCTGCAGGACCTGGTTTAGAAATTTCATGAGAACCAAATCTCAAAATACCGGCTCTCCTCTCGAGGCCACGGACAATCAGGCCGTCAGACAATCGCCACCTTCAGTGCCCGCCATGTTGCGGTTTAGAGAACTACCATTTAGCTCCTCAAGCGGGAAGAGAAGATCCATGTTTCTTCAAGATGCTGTTGGTCCTCTCCTTATATTTTTGTTTTAGTTTTGTGATTTTGATGGATAAGTTAAGTTCAAAGTCACCTGTGACTCGAAAAGAAATAGCAGCATGAAAGGCAAAAATTATCAGTGAAAAGCAGCTGTTTCAGTTTTCCACGCACCACAGCCTTCCTCCCGTGCCCCGTGAGGTCCTTATAGGCACACGCCCCTAGACCTGAGTTCTCCTGGCGTTTCCAGAACCAGTTGGATTTTAAGGATTTTTAACAAGTTCTTTATATTTGAGTCTTTTTGTAAAACTCTCTGTGAAACTTTACCTAATTCTTGGTTTTGCGTCCTCAACAACTCTTGTTACTACAATTGCCACCTATTGTTGGGTTTTCTCTTGACTGGTTGTTGATGTTCTGGCAGCGGGCAGCCCTTGTGCATGTGAACGCAGGTGATGCTGCAGAGCGTGACCGGGGCAGCGGGGGCCGCACACCGGTCTCTGCCGGGGAAGCGGGAACACTTCTCAGTAACTACTCAGCAAAATAGGTATTTCCATAATGTGTAATCCACCTTTCAGGGGGAAACATGTTTCATGAAACACTTGTAAGACACTTGTTTTGCAATACTGAGGCATTCGTGTGGAATGAGCTCAAAGGGAAATGTTCATTTGACTTTTTTTTTTTTTTTTTTTGGTTGACTTTCAACTGAAAGTTGAAAGTTATTATTAAAGCAGCAGTGATGGGTGCTATTCCCGGTTCTGCAATGGTTTACTTTGTCTACTAAGTGGTTTACTTTCAAACCTCATCACACATAACCTTACTAAAAAGAGTTACCGTCACACACTAAAAAGTATTTTTACTATTTTCCATTAACACTGTTGTATGAACAATGTTTTATGAAATGTTAAGTTGTCTTTTTGTCCTGTAGATTGCAATAGCTGTTATATAATTGTTTAATTGGCAAGTCTTTGGATTTCTTTTTTTCCTCTAGAAAACCCTCAGACCATGTGTCAATCTTCCACGTTCTGAATATTATAATAGAAAGATTACTTGCAAGTGTGTGTCTTGAAAATAACCTCTCGTGTTTGTGTGTTTACGTGGGTTCTAAGAGACAAGATAAGCTCTGGAAGCTTCATGGTGTACCTACACATGACTGTGTATCTGGGTTCCATGGGCAGGTGGTATGGAATCCTGCTCTTAGATGGGGTGACTGAAAGATAACGTTCCCTGAACCCCACTTGCTGTTTATGTACCACATCTGTCGTTCAGAGAGGTGGTATCTTCTACAACACTGCATTTCTTGTGGTTGTGCTGTTACTGGTATAAAGTCAAGTGCCTTCAATGCTAAAGGCTCAGAAATTTTTCTTAAACTTATTTCATGTCCTATGCAAGTGTTTTCTACAACCTGCATAACCAGTACTTTGTAAAACTTGTTTACGCTTCAATTGTACATAGTGTTTTTTAAAGAAATATATAGTATTTTTATTTAGGTACCTCCAAACTTGAATTCGTCTGTGTGAAGCATTGTAAAACGATACATTTCTCTTTTGAGTATCATTACGGTTGTACAAAGGTTTCCACTGGTTCTATTTTTCTACTGTTACTGATAAGCATGTAGCACTGACTTTATCCTACATATAGTTGGCATTTCAAATAAATGGCTTGTATAGAACCTGCTGAGTTGGATACAGTCTGTTTTAGCCCTAGAGCATGCAGTCCTCAATTGTAGAAGCGATTGTACTCCACTAAGGGTAGATTTGGGAGGCTTTCTAGGTGAACTTCCCCTCTGTTTCCAGGATTTCAGTTAACCAGGGGCTCTTTAAAATTACTATGGTTTTCTTGAAAATACCACATTTTCATCTAAATCAAGTTCATTCTCTTCTATTATTTTACTGGGACGCTTCTGAGAGATTTTGGTTTATAAATTTTAGCTGAGAATTACTTGCACCAGGGTCTCCAAAAGAAGTTCAGCATCCCGCCCGTGAGGACCCACACCTGGAGGGTGCCAGGTGCTGTGGTCCGGCCGTGAGAAACCCAGATGCTCCCCAAGACTCACAGGTCTCCATGGGTCTGAGCTCTTTTCCTCTTTCCAACTCCGGCTCATCCATATTTTTCAATTTGAAAGGGTAAGGGAATCATGATCTAGTCTAGGTTTCTGAAAAAACATGCGAAATAGAAAGTTTTCTAAATTCCATCTTTTCAATTGCTATAAAATCGGTATTGTTTTTTTATTTTAATCATTTCACTAATAAGTTCCATTCTGGCCTTTCTCCCTTTCCCCCCGTGTCACTAAGGCGATTATCTATATTCTGTAATCATCTTAGGTTTAACTGTGGACTCTCAAGATAAAAGCTAAGGGGTTTTTTTTGTAGGAGAGCTTCTTAAAAACCTAAAAAAGAAAATTGAATAAGTCAATGTGCGTTCCTGTACTTGCAGATGACCCCTGGAATGGTGGGTGCCAGCCAGCTCCTCAGCCATGTCAGGCTGTACCTTTCTTCAGTTCATTGAGGAATATTTTTTTGGGTCCACTCTTCCCAGCAGACAGAGCCAACAGGATACCTATTCTCAGAAACTCTGGACTCGCCAGAAATGACTTTTGTCCTAGAAACAAAGCAGTACAGAGCAGTAGGAGGTTATCATGGGTGAGGGGAAGACCTGCTTGACATGGCCCAGGAATGAATGAGGGGAGAAATATATGCCAGATTCAATGCCAGGCACTTTATTTTTTTTCCTTTAATCAATGAATTAGATAGTATTTCCTTTAATCCTCTGTGAATTACATACTATTATTAGTGCCATTTTGTCACAGATGAGAAAACCAAAGCACAGAGAGGTATCAAGTTACTTGTCCAAGGTCGCACACCCAATACGTCAGTAGAGCCTAGGCTTAAACCCAAATGGTGTGGCTCGAGAGCCGGAGTTCTCAACCATGGAAACATACTGCACCCCAGAAAGGATGGTGACCCGGGCGGGGGGGTGCATAATGTGCAGGGGGTGGAGGCGGGCATAAGCGTGGCATTTATTTGTTCCGCAAACATGTATTCATGCAACGAGTAACTTCTAACCG